GTTCCAGGACAGCCAGTGCTACAGAGAGGAACCCTGTCTCAAATAAACAACAAAAATGGCAGCAACAACAACAATAATATATAGAAAATAAGGTTAGGAAAGAAAAGGAGAGTAAGAGAAAAGAGCAAGAGATTTAGTCAATGTAATAACAGAGTATGACTCACACTGAGACCGTTGCCACTCTTAGCCAAGAAGTCTTTGTGACCTGTGTCCACGTAGACACTTTGGTTGGCGGGTTTGTCTAAACAAAGTCGTGTTGTCTTCCTGATGCTTTGGAGGCAGTGGGGATGGCAGATAGGGCATGGAGTTCCACAAGGGATAGAAGTCCTAGTAGCTGAGTTATTTGGTCAAACATTTTCAGATCCTATGCAGCAGCAAACCACCATGCAATAAGAAAGAAGCTGTGGAAATTCAGTAATCTCTCCACTCAGATTCTGAGTTCTCGAATCCCCTGACTGCCTCACACACATTGCAGCATAAGACAGTTTCAGAAATGAAAGATTCTGCCAGCCACCTGCTCAGAACTCTCAGCCACAGCAGTCATCCAGAGGAGCCATGTCATTCCTGGTTACAGGAGGCAGGGCTGCCTGTCCTCATGCCTCCACAGCCTGAGAGGAGTGTATCTCAGTCACTCCCTCCTGCACTAATGTCCCTCATGGCTGCCTATCCACCAGAGTATCCCAGGGCACCATGACATGTGCTAGATGATTTTGGTTTCCACATCAGCTCAGACTCAGAGAACAGAAATTCCTGGTTCTAGCACTGTGAGAGACGGGGTATGTAGAGCTCGGGCTGTGCCCATCTGTGTTCCTTTGTATTACACAGGACAGGAGTTTTCAGTGTGGGCCTTACCCTGAGTGACTCCATTTACACAGCAGTGGTTTGCTTCATTATGAAAGAAAATGCTGTACCTTATGTGTTCAAGCATCCAGCATAGACAGTAAGATACAGACTGATAAGTAACTCATTAATATGAACAATATAAACAAATTATTCCTACTTGGTTGTGGGACACTGCTCTTGTGCAGTGTAAATGTTTGTTGCTCATATTATTTTAATAAAATGCTGACTTGCCAGTAGCCAGGAAGAAAGTACAGGCAGGGTGACCAGAATAAGAGAATTTTTGGAAGAGTAAAAGGAGAGAATAGTCACTAGTCAAATATTTTATAATTAATATAAGCATATCTGTGTTTCTTTGGGACTGAATGACTGTAGGACTGGGTGGGACAGAAACTTCTCTTTACACTACCTCTAAACAATCTGCCCCATGAACTTTCTCTTTCTTGAACCTACACTGTACCGTGAACCAGCTGAGTATTTACTGACCACCCTGTTCCAGCACAGCTCTCTCTGCTGCAATGTGTATCAGCTCTGTTTTCCCTTCCACAGCTCTGCTTTAACCCTTGAACCACTGTAAGTCTTTCTGGGTGACACTGTGTATTGTGCTCAATGCAGTCTGAGATCTGAGAGACAATGTTGGTCATAGGATAAGAAGGAACCAGTTTACACTTGCCAAAAGTCACAAGCCTCAGAAGAATCAAAAGTGCTGGGAAATGAAAGCCAAGAAAGACGATGCCGCTTATGGATGCCTTGTTCTTCAATAACCTGACATGTGAATGACATACATGTATCCATGCATGTTTTTCACATGGCATCTTCATGACAGTGATTGATTCAGTGAGTTTATTCCCAGTACTGCTCTGCCATGTAGGAGCAGTGTCAGGTCAAATATCTGCAGTGGAACAAATCATTTCTACTCTATGAATGTGTGTTACTCTCATTGGTTAAAAAAAAAAAAAACAGACTGGCTAGTAACTTGGCAGGAAGCTATGTCAGAAAGCTATATTGAGAATGACGGGAAGAAGGAGGACAGAGTCAGGAGAGAAGCCGGTCATCTGCCAAGCAAGCAGGATGTGTAAAAAATGAAGTAACAAGTCATGAACCACATGGCAAAGCATAAATAGAAATATGGGTTAATTTAAGTGAAAGAGTTAGCTAGTAACAAGCCTGAGAGATCAATTGAGCATTTATAATTCACATTCAGCTCTTGTGACAAAGCCGCTTGTTCATCCCAGCCACCCAGAACCAAAATAACCACACAGATACTGTATTAATTAAATCACTGATTGGCCCATTATCTTTAGCTTCTTCTTGGGTAACTCTTACATCTTAACTTAACTCATTTCTACTAGTCTGTGCATCACCACAAGGCCTACCAGAAAAATTTCAGCACATCTGTTTCTGGTGGCATCATGGCTTCTCTCTCACTCTGCCCTTTCTTCTCCCAGCATTCAGTCTAGCTTTCCCCCATTTAGTTCTGTTCTGTGCAGGCCCAAGACAGTTCTTTATTCATTAACCAATAAAAGCAACACATAGACAGAAGGATCTCCCACACCATTCACCTCTGAGTCGGTTATTTGGGACCAGGCCCTTAGGATAGGAAACGTCCATTTACAAATACCCATGTTGGATTTAAAGTTCTGAAGAGCGATAGGTTCCTCCTGCCAGCCTGTTGGCACCTGGACAGCCTGTTTCACCTTGGAGTTGCTGCCCTGGCCTCACACGTGTTGAGCGTGCACTGACATGTGCTCTCAGACCCAGGCCTGTGTTTCTCTATGTGCTATTGTTATCTGCATTTTTGCCCATCAGAGTTGTTCTTATGTAGGAATTTCCTACCCTTTTGTCAAGTCCTGCAGAACCCTTATGCTCCCATGTTGCTCTCTTTCTTTTCAATTTAAAGCTTCTATTTTCATATGATAATTCTCATTCAGAATGGAGTTCATTTCAAAATCATTACCATTCATGTGTATATTTGGTTCTCCTTTTTTATTTTATTTTTTAAAAAAGAAAATAAACTACCTTTTTTATTTTACATTTCAATCCCAGTTCCCACTCCCTCCCTTCCTCCCATTCCCTCCACATCCCCATCCCCCATCTGCTCCTCAGAGAGGATAAGGCACATTGCTTTGAGGAAGACCAAGGCCCTCCCTACTGTATCTAGGCCGAGGAAAGTATCTACTCAGAAAATGCGTTAAAAAAATCCAGTACAAGCAATAGGGATAAATCTTGGTTCCATTGCCAGTGGTCCTTCAGTGTGCCCCAGTCACACAACTGTCACCCACATTCAGAGGATCCAGTTTGGCTCTCTGCTTGTTCCCTGTCCAGCTGGAGTTGCTGAGCTCCCATTAACTGAGATAGACTGTTACAGTGGGTGACCCCATCATGGTCTTGACCTCTTTGCTCATATTTCCACTCCTCCCACTCTTCCTCTGGACTTTGGAAGCTCAGTCTAGGACTCTGCCTCTGTTTCCATCAGTTGCTAAATGAAGGTTCTATGGTGACATTTAAGATCGTCATCATTCTGACTACAGGGAAAGGCCAGTTCAGGTGCTCTCTTCTCTATTGCTTAGGGTCTTAACTGGGGTCATCCTGAAACAAGTAATTTCAACCATAGAGCCATCCCTCCATCTCCAGAACTTTCTAGTCTCCTTCTTAATCAATCAATGTCTAAGTGGTTGTTAAATACAATTCTGAAATCTTAATTTTGAGTGTTGTAAAAATAGATTTTGTGCCTTTTGATAAGAAATCTGTAATTCCTTCTGTCTTTGAATGTAGCAGTCAGTTGTCATATTAGTAATGGTTATGGATTACTTGTGAATGTCCTTCTATGTTCTCACTTTGGTAATATATTTCATCATGCCTACCGAAATGACTAGAAATCTGTAACTGAAATTTTGGATAACATTTTTTAACAGGAGGGGTTTACATTCATTTTTTCACTAATGTCTGAGTAGAGCACACTGTTGTGGCAGCGTCTTAGCCTCATAATTTGGTTTGTCTGAAATCCCAAAGCCTAAGCCTTCTGGATCTCAGAGTACAGTGTTTTGATAATGGCATTGTTCTGAGGCTCCAAGTTTGCCTAGTGACAGACTGCTAATACTTTTCCTCAAGAATAACAGAGCTTCTGGCAGATGTGTTTAGCAGATTTTGTTTTCCTGTCTTTTCTGGTTTTGGACATGTACTTGGGTGATTTTGATGTGCTTATTGCAGGGGGAAGGGCAGAACAGGTGTGGCTGGCTTCACTGCTGCTGTCCCTCAAACCTGGCTGCTTTGGTTGTCATCAGAGCTCTTCACACAGCTGCTCCCACCCTGTCTGCTTTAAGGATGCTCCTGGAGGAGGCTTGCCTGAGCAGCTGGTTCCTCATAGGCAGGAGCTCTCCACCCAAGATGTCAGTTCTTAGGAAGGAAATCTGGCTGTGTTGCTGATGGTATTTTAAACTGTTTCACTGCTCAGTTCACTAAAGGTCTTACTTTAAAGCAAATATTAGTAACTTGTGAAAAGCGACATTTAATCTTCATTTGTATTGTTTTTCCTTAGAAGTATTATACCGCTTAGTTACTGATTTGGTGTCCTTGTCCCTGTCATTTTAAAATTTGAGTCTTCCTAGATTTCAGCATACCCATATGTCAACGATGATGCCATTGTCAGCATTCACCTTGTTGACTGTGTGAAGATTCTTAATGATCAGAGGTGCAGTTGGAAGCTGGAAATAGTCACAAATTTCTCCAGATAGCTATGGAAGTTCAACTTGTTATTATGCCATACCCCATAATACAAAATATACAATACAGGCACACACTCACACACATGCACATATGCACACACCAAACACATGTATACACAGCATAGGTGGTGATATTGGTAATGTATTCTGCCTCTGAACTTATATTAACCATATGATGCTTTTGAAGTAAGAGAAGTCTAACCCCTTATATGTTGCCTTCTTCCTTTATGAATTCTGAATAATAATTATGATCTACTTGTTAGTGATCATTTGTTTCTTAGGAATTTGGTATCTATGGGGAGTCTATGTACTTAGTCATGTAGAGTTCTCATTGGGTCTTTAGGTAATCATAGCCATATAAACTGTTCATCACAAAGGAATCTGCCTATGAATACACAGTTTAAACAATCCTAAGTGTGCTGCTTTGTGTAATAAAGCTGTTTGTGTGGACCGTCAGCTTACTATTGCTGTTCTTTCTACAGGAAGGAAGAACTTCTGGAGATATCTCCCAATATTGACCCTGTTGCAATTCTAGTGACAGAAAGAAATCCCAGTGACTGTCTTGAAATGGACAGCAGTGACCAGAACACATTGACTGGAGAGGCTGTGCTAAGTTTTCATAACATCAGCTACCGAGAAACAGTGCGGCGTGGCTTTCTGTTTTGTAATAAAACACGTGTGATAGAAAGACTATCAAATATCAGGTACGTGCATGAAACAGAGACCACAGCATTGAGCAACTTTTCAATAAACACAAACTTTCTCTATCATCTATAAACTTTGGGTGTTTGTGTGTATATATGTATATGTCTGTTTATGTGTATGTATAAGTGTATGTGTATATGCATATATATGTGTTTATGTTTGTGTTTAAGTGTATATGTATGTTCATATGTGCAGATGTGTGAATACTATGACACACCCATAGCACAAGGCTGTCAGAGGGAAACTCTGAGCACTGGTCTTCAACTTCTTCTGTGTGACACACAGAGTCGCTCATTGCTCACTGCTGGTTATGCTAGGCTAGCAGACTGCAAGGGTCCTGAGATTCTCCTGTCTGTTGTAGCTAAGTTTTCTATAAGAATAAAAAACTATGCCTCTTTCAATTTGAATATTCACTACTCTGAATCAATAAATCAGGTTCTCTGGACATAATTTGTGTTTGTGCTGAACCTATACATCAATAAATAATGTCCTGTACTTGAGGGATGTCTCCCAATTTTAACTGAGCTTATTCTAATCTCTTTATTAGGGAAGGAAATCATCATTTTATGGGTATATATTTAGTTTTTCTATTTTGATTAAGGTGGTGTTTTGTTTTTTGTTGTTTTCAGTGTTAAACTTGGCAATGCCCTACTGTACTCTGAGTGCATCTTTCTAATGTTTGAATTTTTACTTTAGATGCATTGATTTTGATTTGATTCTATTTTAGTAGCAATTACATTAGTACTGATGTCCCGTGAATCATTAGTTTCTTGTGATGAAATCTATGAGGCAGCGAGCAGGGTTATGTGAAGATGTTAGTCATAAAACAGTAGTAAGAAGCTGTTGTATACTCGACACATAAAGGCCGTGTGTGTAATGGAGTCTTCATGAGAAACTGCTACTTTTTTCAAGGAGCACTTATCTTAGACACACCATGTTCCCCAGAAGACAAGTTCTTAAATAATAAACAGCAAATGTTTGTGATATCTGAGATAGTTTTGATGAGTTTCCACTAGCAAATAAATGACATCTTTTACAAGTAATAAGCTTCTAATAATGTTTTAATTTTATGAGTTTGCACTTATTTTCTGTGTACAATTTCATTAAACTTCAATAGCATATTAAGCATAGACCCTAAACTAATATAACTACCTTTACATAAAAAATCAACCAGTATAATTTTGTGTTTTCAGTGGAATCATGAAACCTGGCCTCAATGCAATTATGGGACCGCAAGATGGGAGTAGATCTTGGTGAGTATAATGGGAAACATACAAAAGTCCTTTGTCGTAGTGATATTTCACTTGTATTTTAATAAATAAAACTTGCCTGAAGATTAGAAAAGTAAAATAGTCATACTGACCAGCCTTACAGACCAGGCAGCAATGGCACACACCTCTAATGTCAGTAGTCACAGTGACATACAGATTAATCTCAGTAGCCAAAGTGACACACAGTTTTAAAGCAAGTAGACACACTAGTTTGCTATAGGAAACTGGGCAGTAGTGGTGCACACCTTTAATTCCAGTTCAAGAGAGGATTATAAAACAGGAGGAAACAGCTCTCATACATTGTCTCATTCTGAGATTCCTGGAGGCTGGATCACCATTTTTGAACTGAGGTTGTGTAGTAGTATCTAAGAGTTCTACAATAGCCCAGAATGGAGTTTATTAATTTGGGGATAAACTCCCAGTAAGGGTAGCTATCCACAGTCCTCTTTCTGTGATGGGGACTGGAACTAAATCCAGCAGAAAAGGAGGAACACTTTCAATTTGTCTGCACTTATAGTACAGGAGACCACACCCAAAGTGACACAGTATCTTAAAGGCTATTGGCTAATGGAGTTCCCACAACAGGACCATGTTAGAGTTAGTGATTGGTTGTTTTGCTTTTCTGGTCTTCAGGTTGAACCCCAATATCTGTTTCTGAGTTTTTATTAATTGTGTTTCACTTTGTATCCAGTTTCTGTGCTATAAAAATGAGTTATTTGATTACTGTGTGAGTCTGTTTGTGAGTGAGTAGTGTGAATATGGTCCTGTGTGCTGTGGATAACATGCAGATGGATGTATTCTAAATTTACACCAAGAGCAGAAAGTCTTAATAAGTCACTTTACTTCTAGGAAATGATAGAGTGATTGGCATGAGGTGTTGGGTCATATTTAATGTGGTGAAAGTAATATTAGATTTAGAAAGATGGAAGAGTTTTCTGGAGACAAGAAATCATAGCCTAATTCTCAGACTACAGCAGCACAGTTATGCTTGAGTCCCAAAGGTCAGATCGTAGGGAGAGGCATACCTATTGATCATGTCTTTCATCATAATTCTGATCTGTATTAAGACACAAACTTATCAGAAAGGAGTGTTTGTGTGTGTGTGTGTGTGTGTGTGTGTGTGTGTGTGTGTGTGTGACTTCAGTTAAACTCATGCAGCATTTTTATTTTGAGTATCTGAAAGCTGATAGCTGTTACTGAAGGGAGGAAGTAAACCACACAACATATGTAATTCTTGTAGGTTATTAGATGTCTTAGCTGCAAGGGAAGATCCACAAGGATTATCAGGAGATATTTTGATAAATGGAAAACCCCGACCTGCTAATTTCAAATGTACTTCCGGTTATGTGCCATGGGTAAGTGTTGGTGGGTTTGTAATTTTAGATTTCTCCTAATTCCATGTGGTTAGATGCTCAGCTAATATACTTGTGTTCTTCCAGTTCATTATATGACACAGTAAGGCCTTATTTTCTCTACACTGGCTTTTCACAATGACTCATTAGCCTGAGGGTGACATTATCAAATAGGAAGATGGACAGGTATTGGAGTATGACATCTGTGGCACAGTATTAGTAACTGCAACTGTGATTTAATTCTATAGAGGCAACAGTTGTCTAATTTTGTCTTTTTTCATCTTTCTTCACTGCTTAGAAGTTTTCTGCAATTAATTGAAGGTAGACATCACCAAAATTCCTGTGCTCTTCTTGGAAGGCAAATGGGAGGGGTGAAAATGAGTACATCAGGTTCTCTACTTGAAATTAGTAAAATTGAAAGCTTATTTTTTAGGACAGTATTACATTGTGTATATTTTATATGAGGACTAGGTTACATTTGTTAGAATGATTGTTTATCTGATCACTCTATTTAATTGAAATTCTATTTAACCTTAAGAATGACTTGGTGATGCTCACGGTGACTGTGAGAGAAAACGTAGAGTTCTCAGCTGCTCTTCGACTGCCAATGACTATGACAAGAGATGAAAAGAGAAGACGAGTTAATGAGGTCCTTGAACTTCTGCATCTAGATAAAGAGTCAAATGTTAAGGTAATGTGCAGAAAAGTCTTGAAAGACTCAGAAGAGAGAGAGAGAGAGAGAGAGAGAGAGAGAGAGACAGAGAGAGAGACAGAGAGAGAGAGAGAGAGAGAGAGAAGGAGAAGTGGGAGAGGGAGAGGGAGATACATGAGTGGATTATATGACTCTGTGTCAGCAGTTCCATATAATGTATGTAGTCACAGTGGCTGCTCTCTGTGTTAATGAGGTGACTGGTTACAAGATGTAAAAGAAAACTAAGCTGGGAAGCCTTCTTAGCAACGGTTAATTAATTATTTTTATGGTAATAGACTGTGATCTAGCAGGGAAGAGTGTTCCTCTCATGGCCATTTCCAAATGCTCCTCACATGAGCCTTCTCTTCCCTCAGCCTTAAACTCTTGACTCTTTAGAGAATTGGACAAGTGCTTTCTTCGGTTTATTGTCTCTTCCCCTAGAGGACTTGTCCCTTGTTGTTTCTGACACAGGACATGAGATGGAGAACTCTGGCTCTGTGTTCACTCTGCATTTATTTCCCTCTAAGGTTGTCCTTGGTCATTTTAGCTTTTACTTCTCACATATGTAGTGCTTGCTATTTTCTGTAGCCTTTTTTCTTGTGTTTTTATCTCATCCTTACTTGTGATTGATAGTTTTAACTGTCAACTTGACACAGTTTAGTATCACATGGAATCATCTAGCAGAGAGTCTCAATGAGGAATTATAGTCAGGTTGACTTGTTTGCATTTCTGTAGGTGATAGTCTTGATTAAGTTAAGCAGGGGGGAAAGACCCTGCCCACTTAGGCAGCTCCATACTTTGGTTTGGGGTCCTGGGTGTCGTGCGAATAGAAAAAGTGAATTGAGTACAGGCATGCATCCGTTCTCTCTGTGTTCTTGACTGGATGTAACCAGCTGCAGCAGCTTCATGTCTTGGCTTCCCTACAATGGTCAACTGTATTTTTCAACTTTGTACTGAAATAAAACCCTTGGCTCCCTTTTAAACTTTTATATGAGCAACTACCCAGACAACCAGGATGTGTTTCTACCCTCATTCCCTGCTTCTTTATCTCTTATCAATATTTATTCCATGACCCTGTGTAAGGTTTTATAGATACAACCTTGGGCAAGTGTAGCAACAAAGAGACCAAGTGACTCTTCCTGTTGAGATTTGTCCAGGATCAGGGAAGGTAATAGACAAGTGGTGAGCTTCACAGCCGAAGGTTGTAATAGCTAACTAGTTTCCTACTGACATATTTAAAAAGAATATTTTATATTATTTCATTCCTGAATACTTAGTTTTTTATACATGATTGGTAAGGACATTTGCTTATCTTAATAATTCTATTCTTAACTATCAAAATACAATAAATCCTGATATCCTCAGCCCTGTCAGGTTATAACCATTCACATTCCCCAACTGTACTTTATTATTACATTGTTTATAGAACCTGATTAGGTACTGTATTTATTATACACTTAGGATTATAATATTATGGTTCTTTCCCTCTTCTTATCTCTTCCAAATAATCTTGCCTCTCACAATAATATCAATTTATTGAGAAGATTGAATAAATATGTTTGCTGAGTAGATATTTGTATATATGGATGAAAATAAATGTCCCAGAATAGGATTTTCATGGACTAACTCCTGTGGTATCTCCTCCTTAGAGGCAGTGAGGAATAAGAAGGTACTGGCTGCTGATTCCCACAATCCTTCTCCACAGATCTTTATGAGATGTTTGTCTTGTTGACAAGAATAGAGGGGTTCCCAGGTGTCCAAGGAAATATCCCCAGCTTGTTCCTTGAGGAGCTGAGGAGAGGGCACCTGAACTGGCCCTATACTATAGCCACTCTGATGAATATCTTGCATATCACCATAGAACCTTCATCTGGCAATAGACGGAGATAGAGACAGAGACCCACATTGGAGCACTGGACTGAGCTCCCAAGGTCCAAATGAGGAGCAGAAGGACAGAGAACATGATCAAGGAAGTCAGGGCTGCAAGGGGTGTACCCACCCACTCAGATGGTGGGACTGATCTAATGGGAACTCACCAAGGCCAACTGGACTGGGACTGATGGAGCATGTGATCAAACTGGACTCTCTGAACGTGGCTGACAATGAGGACTGACTGAGAAGCCAAGGAAAATGGCACTGGGTTTTGATTCTACTCCATGTACTGGCGTTTTGGGAGCCTAGTCTGTTTGAATGCTCACCTTCCTAGATCTGGATGGAGGGGGGAGGACCTTGGACTTCCCACAGGGCAGGGAACCCTGACTGCTCTTTGGACTGGAGAGAAAAGGGGAGGGGTGGGGGAAGGGGGAGGGAAATGGGAGGAGGTGAAATTTTATAATAATGACAATGATAATGATGATGATGATGATAATAATAATAATAATAAGAAGAAGAAGAAGAAGAAGAAAAAGAATAATATAAAAGCTGATGTTTACCACACTTTCTTTTATCCTGAGTGATGGAGTTTTGTATGTTTTGCTCTGTTTATTTACATAGTTTTATGTTTACAATAGGTCATTTATGCTTTATTTTTAACAATATATAGTCATTGCTCTCAGTTTCTTACTTGTTCTATAAAGGACAACATAAGAAGATATTAACTTCTCAAAAGTCATACAATGTG